GTTGTGTAATTGAGATTTATGGCTTTCTACTGCTTCCAGCTGACGAGGTGTAGAGATTGTGGATCACTTTCTCTATAGGGGACAAATTGCCTCACACCGTGAACGTAAAACCCCCCCGCAGAAACGTACGCAAACACACCTAGGCGCTACATACATATGCAGCAGAATCTCACCAGATTCTTCCCTCATTAAGACATACAGGCACACACACGCATACGCACACCCTGTTGGATGGATTTATTATCCATGGGTCGTAATGTCCCACAGGAGATGTAATATCCAGACCATTACACTGTGAAAAGGAAAATGGCAATGTATTTATTTCCTGAGAAGATGGCCCGGGCCCCGGCTCTGTCATGCCTTGCGACACAGTGACATGACATTGAACGCCCTTTTCTCCTGTTTTAACAACCGGCCTATTGCTGTAACGCCTCAAGGACGGCTCGCTGGATAAATGAGACAAAGAGAACAAGAGAGTAGGAGAGGAGATGAGAAGTAAAACACACATCAGAGAGGGAAATTAAAAAAGGTCACTGCAGTGTTACTCATCCATGTTTTTTCTTTTAATAAAACACATAGAACTTTTACTGATCCCAATTAAACATGCAACATTTACCTGCTACACTTAAGTCAATGATATTAAATGTAGCGCTGGCATTTGTCCTAAGGTAATAATAATGGTGATATATTCACATTTTCTAGACATACTTTACTTAAAGAAAGACAGCAAAGTAACAGAGCAGCTAGCTAAGACTAAAATCCTTTTCTCAATATCATTTCTATAAAAACCTGAGCAGCAGTTTGTCTTTTCAGGATAAAAACTAGTTTGTTCCTCATTATTTGCATGTCAAAGTGCCAAGCATCCGATTTTCGACAATATATTTACCCAGTGATCTTTAACAAAGCAAGAAGGTCAATCAACATTACTTACAGCTTGCTGAATGTGTTTTCAGAATGTTGCCAAAAGATTCTCACAGCGCCTCTGAATTAGAAATAAAAACATTTTTCTCTGTTACAATAAAAAAAGATTTTGGAGCAGATCGAGTAGTAAAACATGTGTACAGTAACATTGCTATGTAAAAGGTTTACTTTCAATGAGGAGTAGAAGATTACAAATAATAGAAGGAACAATATTCAATTAACATAGCCAGCATTTTATTAAACAACACAACAACTCCTCACCCACCCCAATGTCTATCAACTATTTCAACCTACACAAAGGACAGTGTTGTTGCCACTTAAATGTAATGTTCATACACACCTGAGAGGCACAGAGCGGAACTAGCCTAAAACATACCGTATCTCAAAATGACGTTGTCTCAACACAGTGTCGGCTGTCTGCAGACTGAATAGAGGCAAGGTATCAGCTGGAAGCAGGAAGGCAGCAGTGGGTAGATCCAAGCACAATGGTGGCAGAGACTTCAGACAGCATGCGTACAGCCAGCATCACAACCTGCTGTCGCTCCCCCTGTTGCCTTTACCTGAGCAGGAGTAATATTTCTCAAGACTCACAAGAAAATGTGAGGAATGATTTACTCTAAGAATCAAACTAAGTAAAAGCTAAAGCTGTCTTTAAATGATACAAAATAATGTTCTTATTATTAGGGGGGGATGTGGGCATTCCAAGCTCAGGTAACTGCAACAGGGCTTCACATTTCAAAACAATGCTTCCTGCTGTTTTTTTCTGTATGATCATTATTATTATGATTTTTACAAGACACTTTTGCAGCTTGTTTCACTATTTATCAGTTCTATTTCAATTTCAGCTCAACGTTCTTTATGTCTTTTTCTTTTCTATTTTTACAGCTCTAATGACATTTGTTTGATTTTCTTGTGTTGGTTTCTTGTGAGCAGTTCTTGATATTTTGCATGGCTTCAAATGAGACTGTGTGCTTTTTTTTTGCTGCTATTTATACATTTGCCTTTTTCCTGGCTTTGATTGCTTTGATGGTATTAAGCACAGTTTTGCCTTCATGCAGCTTAATGCTTTTTCAGCATGGCAATTTGAGCACCACAGTCAACAGTATTCATATCCCGCTCCACCCATCCTGCCTTCTCTTCCTTCCTGTCGCCCTCAGTTATATTGGCTTCAGGTGTCAACTGTACTGTAAAAACTTAGCAAACTGCGTATGTGAAAGTTAAACTGGAATCAATATATGAGAAATTATCTTGGAGTCGGAAACTAAGTAAACAACTAATTTTCTCCGCATTTCAATGTAACCGAGATAGAGTCATGCAGCATATTTTACAGAAGGAATATGGGATAGACATTTAACCATACCATCAATCTCTGAGAATTAATTAAAAAAAAAAAAAAACGTTTAAGCTTGACTGAAAATGTATTGGCTCAGAGTCGTTTGCAAGCTTGTTTGTGATTTAAAAAGAAATTACAATTACTCCAAACTTTTTCATTTACAGATGAGACATTGTGGAATCTTATCTGCTAATGAATATGACAGTGCTGCCAATATGTATTAGCTCGGCACCACCAGAGTAATTATAAATGCTGCAAAGTGATGAGCATTCACACACTGATGATATTTAGCACCCAGCACCATCATTATCCCAAATTCCAGTGGGACCATCGCAGTTGCCAGGTGGCCGCTTGTGTTTCACAGTACATTTGAGCTTGGTGTCTGGTTGTCTGTCTGTGTGCTTGTCTGTCCCTCATCTGTCCCTGTTATATTTTCCTGCACCCCTGTCACCCTACCAAAAACCTCCCCCCTTTGCTCATATCCTGCTCCCCTGAATCCCCAGCCCTGCTACTGTCCATCTGCTGCCATTGTGATCAGTCTCCCTTCCACAGGACCTCTCATCTGACTGGGGTGGCATGTTCCAAGGCTATACCTTACCTAGTGCAAATTCATTCCTGAAACCAATGTATGGAGCCTCCTCCCCCAACAGCCCTCCCCCCTGCCTCTATCTGTCTCTTTTCTTCCTCCATCTCTGCACCTCCTCCTCCTCCACCATCTCTCCCCATGTTGTCTGTCTCTTCTCCAACTGGAGTCATATCTCTTCCCCTGTCTGCAGGAAAGAATCCTTGCCCTGCTCCCCACTCTAGCTCTCCCTCCTCTTTCTACCTCTCTTTCACTGTCAGGCTCAACACCCCCCCCCCCCCTCCCTATATCCAACTTCCCCCAAGCCGACCTGTAGCCACCGCTGTGTTGCTCCAATTTATGGGTTCATTACAGCAGCTATCCAGGGTAGGAGGAGAGGGGTGAGGTGGAAGAAAAGAGGGATGGAGAGAGACAACAGGGGGAGAGAGACATTGGGAAATGAGGGAGGGGTGAGGGCGATAGAGTAAAGGGACACACACACATGATAAAGATGTATTAAACATAACAGGACAATAATGTAGCAGTGAAGGTTATAAGGGATCGAGCACAGAGATAGGAGAGAGGAAAACTGAAAGGCAGAATCCAAGAAGCGAGATGGAAGAACGGGGAATAAGAGACGAAATAAGATGTAGTGAGATATTGAAGGTGAACCCAGTGAACAACGGTGTTTCTCTCAATCCCTCTCAATCATGTGTTGTCAGACTAGGCCACAATTCTATCCCTGAACAGTCTATGTTCTTGATTTTATGTTTATCCAGCTACGTTGATTAATCTCAGGTGGAACAATGTCTGGTGCAAACCTGTCTCATAAAGATAATGTAAACAAATGCAAACAAATGTTGATACTTTCGCAAAATGTTACCTGCCATGGTATTTTATTTGTGCTCATAACAATAAAATCATGGTTAATCTTTATTTTAGGTTTTTTTTGAGGCTATCAAAGTATTTGGTTAAGGTTAGGGAAAGATGTGTTGTGGTTGATTATTGAAAAGTTGGTAGTGACTTGATGCATGAGACAGGATGTGTTCACTTTATTAAAATGAAACCAAAACCACAATCTTTGCCTGATTTAAACCAAAGTGCTTTTGTTGTTCAGGACTCAGGATCTTGAACACCAGTCTGTGGTGTCAAGGCACTGCATTTTGTACGCCTATCATACACCCCGAACAACCCAGAGCTACTTGTGTTATTTTTACGTTACACTTCCTGAACTAGGAAAAACATTGCGTGTCAGCAGAGTGCAGGTAACCATTAAGTGTTTCACCACGGTCTAATTGGGAAGCCAATTCAGTATTACTGATTGTATGCTGAGATGGTTTTGTTTTCTAATACTTTTTATGATTTACAGGAGGTGCAGTCACAAGTGTCAATTGAGTGAAGACAATTCAGTGATTACATCTCGATAGACAGAAACATAATTTTTTAATTGAAATCTTAGAAAAAATAATATTTCTTCCAACCTCATGTTTCCAAAACAGGGCATTTTGATGATATCTCTCTGCCATTTGACAAAAAATATTGGTATTTTATTGAGAGAGATTATTTCCCTTCTTGGATTTCACAATTATACCGACTGTCTGACAGCTGCTTTGCAAGGGTTATTTTCAGCTCTCTGACACCTGTGTGCTAAAGTGAGGCTGGTATGATAGAGGGGGGGAATGACCCTGCTCACAGGGATGCAGTGCTGTTTTTTTAATGCCAAAAAGCCATGATAATCTCATCATTCATTTCAGCTCACTTTATGGAAGACAATTGAAGGGAAATGTCACCATTATTATAAGGGATGCCATGTCAGTCTCGAATGTTACTTTTAGTTATAGGGGGAAACTGTCAAATACGTCCAATACTACCAGAGAAATTGCTTTTTTCTAACAGTCAAATTCTGGACAGTGATGAACAGCATGAATGTAATACACACAATACATTTGCAAATAAAGTTAAGCCTGTACTGTGGAAAAACCCGAAATAGTAAACTTGTGTATTTTGTAAGGGTTTGTCTAACCACTGATTTACCCCATTTTGGCTCTGCAAACTAAACCAAAACAAGCAACTAGTGCCAGCGGGATCAGAATCAATGTGGTAGTAGCCTATTCTCTTGTGGTCAGTGTAAAACCATCACATATTACCTTACATCTTTATTTAATCCACCATTATTTAAAAAAGAAAAAGCCAGAAGAAGGATTTCTTAGTGGTATGCTTATGGAGACTTCTCTCCTTTGAAATCTTCATTCTTGGAAGAGAACCGACAAGATTACAGTAGATGCTTTATTTTAACATGAACTCTGCTCACTGTCAGACGCTGCACATGGCTTTTTCAAGAGCCTATAAGAGCAAGGTTGTGGGTAATTTAATGATAGTAGTTTCATATGTCCTTGCACAAAAAAAATAGGATTTAGAGTAATCCTATAATAAAGGATGACAGGATTTAGGTTAAAGTTGTTGAGGTGGTCTTATAAGACTGGAGTAATACATTTTAGAAAATGGAAAAAAAAAGCTAAGTAATCCTAGAAATCATATTCCTGTCATTATAACACCTTCATTAGTGTCTTAACAGCAGGATTTGTTTCTTACTGGCCAAAGATTGCGATAGGCCTTTGTGAGGCAGATGAATTTTTCGCAGCTCTTTGTGAATCATAATAGAAACAGTGGACTGGATGTTTTCCCGGTGTTACGCACTTCCCTGAATGACGTCAAGCTTTATGCCATAATTTCCTGCACTGATTAGTTTATTGTTCTCTCAGGCTGCTATTGTTTTCTCTACACATATTCTGCTTACTTTTCCATTTGAATGTTCTGTTATTCTTTTTAGTAAGACTTCTTGCCATTGCTGGTTTAAACAAAAAGCTTTTCTTTCTCTTTTTTTCGCCGTATGAGACTGAATCTTATATCACAGCAGCTCTTCCTTTTGTGCTTTTGAAGCTTGTCCAGCCCACATTCAGCTGTCATTATTCAGCTTTGAACTGAATTGAAATGGTCACGTTCATAATGTCCATGAGTCAGCCGCTCATCAAGTAGAGACAAGCCGAGTCTTTGTTCTCTGGAGGGACTACGTTTGTTACTAAAACATTTATGAATGATTATCTATGCTGGCATTTATAACTGGATGAATTACAAAACAAAGTCACCCATAGAAGTCAGAAACTTGCAACACATTTTCAGCCGCCGTAGCATGACAAAAGTCATGTTAACTAGAGGTAACACTATAGAAAAAGAAAGAAAAAAACACAATTTTCCCTCTACTACCACCATTGTTTTAATTATAATGTATCATTTTTTCACACTACCAACTAATGCTGCCAGGGAGCCGCTGTCTTCAATATGTCTACATGTGATAGCAGTGAAATACAGGGATAATTGGATTAATTGTTTTAGCTGTGTTAATCATGCTGGGCAGCGCTTTTTATCAAGTCTATCATCCATTAATACAAACAGTGCTGATGTCGATTTGAGTCATCTAACAGCTGATGATGAATGTTCCCAGGGACGTGTAGTTCAGGTTGATTTCCATCGAGTATTAAATACTACAGTTTGTATGCGCGGAGGTGGATAGTTTAGTACATCTGTGTTAATACCTGAGGTGTAGAATTATATAATTACGGCTTTAATTATATCTTTACTGGCTCATCAGTATGCTGTTCACTGATTCTTGATTGTTTGATGAATGCGTTAAGATTGAATAACACCATTAATGGAAGTGCCTCTCGAGCGTAAACAAATACAAGACTTAATGGGATAATATCCTAACCGGGGATTAAATATAATTTAATGAATTGCTGTCATCATCTAAACAGCAATGTCCTTTTTAAAAGATGACAACAACCAAGTCCCTGAACACATACAGGAAGTTTCCTAAGCTCTCACTGCTGTAGAGTAAAAGTAAAAACTTAGGCCACGTTTACACGGAGACGAAAACAAAAACGAACGTTAGTCGATATCAAAAAAGTCTTCCGTCCACACGGAATCGGCTCAAGAAACGTGTCCGTCCACACGAGACCGCTGGAGACGCTGTAGTACATATATCCCGGGCCTGTAAGTGGCGCTGTACTTCCGCCACAAAATGCACCAAAAGCAGCGAAGAAGACCCCCCGAGCATGGTTGCCCTTTGTTTATTCTCCGCGGTGGATTTAGCAACATGTAGTTCATGTAGTTCTCCATGTCCACTTGTTGCTGATGGTTGTGGTAGAGGAGCTGTAGATTTTGCACTAACATCTGTAGAATGGTCAGTAGCGTCTGGAGCACGAAAGCAACCCTGTGATCCACCATTGTTGTTGGCGAAACACATCAGCAATGACGCGGGTGACGCGGGGGTGAGCAGCAGAGATGGGGAGAGGCGCGGCTATGGTGTCATCGTTATCAGGAAATGATCGTATAGGACAGGGGTATTCAACTAAAATTCAACGAGGTCCAGTTTGAGAAAATCTCCCCATGCAAAGGTCCGGAACATCAAAATGTCTAACTTGCTTCATGAATTAGTGTGATATATATTGAAGTAGCCTGTAGCTTTATCAACGTCTGCATGTAATCAACAACTGACTGCCAATCAAATAAAGAAAGTACAATTCAAAAACAACAATATTTATTGTCAATTAACATTAAACTCTACAGATATACAGTAAAATGTGGATATGTGTAATGTTCCTCTTGGGCTGCATTTAAAAATAAATTAGAGAAAATAAATAAAATAGCTTTTGAAAATGTGTGCATCTTAAAAGTGCTTAATTTTAGATAAATAAAATAAAGTGTAGCAGCAGCTTGAGTTTCCCTTTTTCTTTGTTAACCGTTTCACATCATGACTTAACTGTTTCAGACGATTATAGAACAATATCAGTCTTTACACATCATAACAATTGAACAGTTTTAAAGTTTCTCTTTCTTTCCCTCTTATATTGCAGTCCCTCACTCACTTTTTTTTAATTCAGTGCGAGAATTGAGCTCGAGCTTGTCCTGCCAGTTTAGATCTGGGCTGAAATTGTGCCAGGGCCATTCTCATACACACATGCAGACTCATTGGTTAGCCTCGGTTAGCCTGCCCTGGGTGGAACAATATTTAGTTTTAATTTTGATCCTGGTCGAATGATCATATTGGGCTCTGAGACTACTTATTTTTTGTGACCTCAGTTCTGACTTGAGAGGGAACGTTTGGTCAAACACTTTGTGTTTTGCCTCATAGTGGCGCTTTGGCACTTTTAATGAGTGCCACGGTCTCTGAACAAATGNACACGAGACCGCTAGAGAAGCTGTAGTACATATGCCGGGCCTGTAAGTGGCGCTGTACTTCCGCCACAAAATACACCAAAAGCAGCGAAGAAGACCCCCGAGCATGGTTGCCATGGTTGCCCTTCTGTTTATTCTCCGTGGTGGATTTAGCAACATGTAGTTCATGTAGTTCTCCATGTCCACTTGTTGCTGATGGTTGTGGTAGAGGAGCTGTAGATTGTGCACTAACATCTGTAGCATGGTCAGTAGCTACTGACAGTAGCTAGTGACCATGCTACAGCAGTGAGCAGCAGAGGTGGGGAGAGGCGGGGCTATGGCTTCATCGTTATCAGGAAATGATCATATAGGACGTACACACGGAGCCGTTTGGCTCCCCAGAGCGTTCTGTCCGCAGATCTATCCACCTTGGGACCCGTTATCGTTTGAGGGGTCCGTTTCCGCGGTTCCGTTACGGCCTCGTGTGAACGAAGGGGCTATACCAAAGAGAAAAGTAGCAGATACAACCCGTTTTGTTCCCGTGTAAACAGCGTCTCAATGGAGATGGACATTTTTCACTGTTTATGAAATGACAGAATAATTTTAGATAATGAAAATATAAGAGTTAGTTTCAGCCCTCATTCATATGGCTTCATAAAAGTGATCGTAACACATTACGAAGCATTCTATATTGACTTATTAAGGATCAACATACTTGCAGGCCACTCATTGACCCTGCCTTCCTTATGATTACTGTGAATTATAATCCCCATAGTTGGGATACTTCATATATAATACAAGCTGGTTATAAGACACCTAAAGTAAAGTGAAAACTAACACCAGCTATTATGATAATTGACCTTATAAGTGACGATAAAAGCTTTGTAATGTGTTATGATAACTGCTGTATTGCATTATGAATATTTAAAGGTGGTTGAACTATAATTATACACGGCTATAAGCAGAGTAACACAGGGTTCCTGCAGCTGCTCAAAACAAGTCTTTAAACAAAGGGCATTAGATTTAGTACAAAGATGTCTTCAATCAATATTCGGTTCGAGAGAGATTACAATTTTGTATTTATGTATTTCGTTTAGTTTTTGTTTGAAATATTTATAATTAATAATAATAATTGTAAAAATAAACTCTTATCTAAAAGCCTTGAATTAGCATTATGCAAATCCAAAGATTGGATAAATCTCGTAAACAATTTATTCCAAATGTTATTTAAAAAAGTAAATATAACTTATTAGCTATAAAGGAAGCCTTTTTAAAATGCATTATAAGTATGTTTATATGAGCCTACTGGAAAGTTTAACCAATTTTTGGTTGATTATTTTGTGTACTTCTGTAATGCATACATGTTTTTAAATCCCGCTCTTGTGCAGGTACAACTGGACCGACGGCAAACTGAACAGCAGCAACTTGATCGAGCTCTCTGGCCAGGTCACAGAGAAATTTGACGAGGAGTTTCGGATCCTGTACGCTCAGTCTCAACCTGTGAACACTCGAGGACCTCCGAGTGTCCGGAACAGCGGCATCTTCGAGCAGCTCCTCATCAAAAACCTGGGGGCCTGCTCCCCTCACCTGGCCAGAGAGAGGCCTCTTGAGTCAGCGCGTCTCACCAGCACACCGAGCCGCAGAGCCTTAAATCTCTCTGTCCAGCCCCCGTGTGAAGCCTCGACTCCAGATAACCACAAAAGCAACCCGGTGTCCAACACCTCCACTTTAGATGAGGACTGGACGGAGGGGGCGCACACGCAGCAGGAGATCCTGGCAGGAAGCACGACTCGGCGTTTATCCGCAGATCAGCTGACAGAGAAAGAGCCAGCGAGCTCCATCACCTGCCACGCCTCCACTCAGACCGGCCTGTCGGTGACGGACAGCGACACGCAGACTGACCAACAGATCACGCCTCAAACCCAGGCTGCCTCTCCGTCCTCTCCCAGCCCGAGCTCAGCAGCAGACGGCTCCTTAAAGCACTGCTTCAACCAGCTGAAGGAGGAGCGCCAGCACCAGTACTCCAACATCCGCTGCAAGCTGGAGCACATGGTGACCGCCCTGTCCCAGAGGCGCGAGCTGGCGGACGTCACCAACATGACTCAGGGGCCTGGAGCTCACAGCCAGCAGAGGGAACACAAAGACAGCGAGCAGGAACCAAACCCCAGAATGCTTGGTGAAAGTGCGGGCATGGGCACGTGGCCAAGAGCCAGATGTGTGCTCTAGTTTGTCCTCTGGGATTTCTCAGAAGAAGGGTGGCGGGGGAAGAGCGGTGCCAAGGTTTCTGGAGGATCCTCTGTTTTAAATAAACGGTTCTGGTTTATGCAGTAGGTTATTTTCTTCTTTTTGTAGGTTTTTTTAAAGGACTTTATTGTCACGGAGGCGTGTGGCTCAGTGGATAGTGCCTTGGTGTTGGGATCAGGGTGGCACAGGTTCAAACCCCACTGCAGTCAGCATGTCGTTGTGTCCCTGAGACACTTCACCCCAAATTGCTCCTGTGGGGATTGTCCACAGTATTGAGTATGTAAGTCGCTTTGGATAAAAGTGTCTAACATGTGATGTCAAATGCACTGCTGCAGTGTAGATATGCAAGCAAAGGCTTCTCTAACAATAGAACATGAATATATAGAAGACAAAAAACAAATCCAAATAAAATAGTGCAAGAGAATATTGCAAGACTAGTTTGCAAGTAATGCAGGAGAAGTTAACTAAATGCAACTAAAATAGAATAAGATAAAAATAGAATGTAAAATGAATGCTATAGTCTGCTTTGCTCACTTTTGTCCTTTTCATTTTGTGTCCTTTCCACGTCTAAAGCTTTACTTGTGTAACGCAGAACTGTAACCAAAGACACAGTGCAATAATACTCTTTTTAAAACATCTCAGTTTAATTACAAATCATTCACACAGCACAGGCGATTAACACTGGATAATATCTGCTGTAGTTTGAGTGAAGAGTGCTGTTTTGGTTGTTTAATCACAGTTGGCTGCTGTTTCTGCTTCTGAACAACATTCCTGGGGGCTGCTGGCTCTCGCTGCGCTTTGCTAATAAACAAAGTAGAGTTTTGCTAGATGAGTGTTTATTGTCTTTTCTAACATTTCCTACTCATCCACCAGTTTAAGCTGCAATTAAATCATTTTGAGGACTATCTCACAGCGAAATGTGTTTAGAAGTTGGAGCACAGTGACAGAGCACCTGTGCTTTATGCACTGCAGTGCCTTCATGCAATTAGCTGAGAGAAGACATCTGTGATACTGGCACCTCTGCTGATGATTCAGCCAATCACTGTTCCTGTCCAGGGTGGGTTTGGAGAAGGGTCTCCATCACAGATTACAAACAAGAGATTAGGATGGATGATTGCTAAGTAAATGCTTCTTTACACACAATGGATTTTAAAACCACTGATTACTGTTATATTAGGTGCTTTTATTGTTTTACATTCAACACAGATTCTTGTCAATAGAGTGGCGAAGTCACGCCCATATACTTCCGGTCCGAGAGGTGAAGTCCCTCCCCTTCCGGTGGGTCTCATGGGACCTTATTTCGGAAAAAGTTTTTATTGAAGTCAATGGGGAGAGAAAGATTATCTTTTGATCCCGTTTGAATTGTGCCACGAATTACACACTCTAGGGCTGCACAATTAATTGAAACCGCAATATGGAAGTGCCAGCGTTGCTAGGAGACAGAATATCTGAAAATATTATATTATCATATTTTACTATATTCTGATTACGTGTTAAAGGTAAGTTAGGTGAGAATGGAGAAACCAGCTAAATTGCGCTAGAATTTGAAATTACACAACCGAAAAAAATCTGCCCCTTCCTTCAGACTTCCTTACAGAGCCCCTCCTCCAACACACACGAACGCGCACATGACCAATGAGGGCACGAGATAAGTTTGTGCACAGATGGAAGGCTGACAGGCAGGTAGGCCATCCAGTTATTTTAGCTGGGCCGGCTCAGATGATTGGTCGTGCTTTTTACAACACCACGGCTTCCACTGATGAAATTATTTTTGTATATATTTATTGTCAAAGCATTTAATGTATTCATTGCTATCTGAGCATTCCATGGAATATAATAAAAGGTGTTTCTGAAGCGAATTACCTACCCCAACTTTAAGTTCAGAAAACACAAGAGAAATCAACTATCAATAATGTTTCAAAAATGATAATTAACTCTAATATAGCTATTGCAATATCAGTTAAAATAAACACAATCAGTTATTTTTTCCAAATTGTGCAGCACTATTATCAATGTATATATTTGGAGTGTGTGATTTTAGATGGCTACATAGCTATTTTTAATGAAGCAAGTGATTTGGAGAGCATGCAAAGCTGTATATTATTAATAATCTACTTGAGGTGATTCTGTTTCCTGGTTCTCCAGGTGCACCATGTGCCACTAAGCCTGGCACAAGCTGTGTTTACGTCTTCATATCTCACTCTCAGCACAAAGGTCCTACTGTAGATGGTGAAAACACGTTGTCGCTCTGGTGGGACGTGTGCTCTGAATGACTCGAGTTATAAATGTATTACTCACTCCGAGCTTTATTGTGACTAATGTTTAACTGTATCGAGGAGACTAAGGTGTAACTTATATCAAGATGTACAGGTAGCTTTATTAGCAGAGCAGATGTGTGGTTCCAGTATGTGACGCAGAGCAGGGATCCAAAGGTGAATGAAAGATGGTGGTTGAAGTTGGTCGACTGTAAAACGTGATCCTTTGATTATCTTATTCTTCGAGATGAAAAGTTACTTATTAGTAAATGTATTTTTGCAGTCTAGTAGTTTTAAACTAAGGCTATCACACTTTTACCCACATTTCAAAGTATCACAGATAATGATTTGGGGTGTCTTGCCCATGGACACAACGACATGCTGACTGCAGTGGGGTTTGAACCTGTGCTCCCCTGATCCGAACACCAACGCACTAATCCACTGCACCACAGCCTCCCAAT